TGATGTTGGAATCAGTTATATTCCGAGGTTAAATATCAAAAATGGATATATTCACTGCAATTTTGTGCCAAATTTGAAAATCCAGGTAACAGGTACTTTTATGAATTGACCCATCGATTTTTACATAGGTTCATGTGCCCCGCTTTGCTCTTTCGAATGGTGAAAACCGCAGGTCGCTTTGACTTTTTGTTCGAAAGTTATAAGCTTTTTTCCACCGGTCTTCTTTTTAAATTCCGATAGTAGTACAATGTTTTTATTGAATCTCATTTGGCTTTACATTATCTTATATCTAACTTCTTACCTGAGTTGTTTCAGCAAGTTAATTACATAGACAGTAATGGTTTTTATCACTCAATATATAAGCTTTGAGATATATGATCATAGTATAAAGCGTCGTATTTTTCTCTTTTCGATCTGTCTATTGAATCTCAAAAGTATTTATTATTGTCATGAACAAAAAGAAAAGCACGAGAGATCTTTTTCTTTTGTTTTACCTTTGAATTTTTCAATTGAAGAAATCGTTGTTTAATTTGTATAATTTTCTAGTGATAAAAATATTCAAGGTCCAGCAAATGGTACATTAAAAGATATTCATGCATATGCAAAACGTAAAATTTCTTTTCATTGTATTTTTATTGGTCATTTTGTTTTTAAATTTAGAAAATACTGAAAATCTAAATAGTCCTCATAGTCAACAAATATTAAACAGTGAACCAAAAACTTGGCAAGAATCTTTATACAAATATTATTTTCGAGCAAATCGTTTATATAAACAAATAGTTTATTATAGTTGGCGTTTTGCTGAATTACATTCACAGAAACTTGTTCTTCTTATAATGGTTCTTGTTTCTGTACTCAAAGTAAAACAAATCTATTCTATACAATTTTCTATTTTTCTTTTTAAATATAAATCATTTTTTCGCTTTTATTCTTGTTTAGGTTTGTGCATTTAATGTATCATTAATTATTTTAACAATACTTGGTTTAATATTATTACGTCTTCGATCATTAATTAGTTTATTAACATTAATTATTAGTGGTGTTTATATTCTTGCATCGATGTGTTATCAATTAGAAATAGCAAAACAAGAAATAATTGAAAAAAATATTTTTGTTAGAAATTGTTCTGAAGTAAGAAGAGAAGAAAAAAACACTTTTGTTTTTAAAGATAATTGAATGATTTATTAAGATTTCTCCGAATGGAACACTTGATTCAAATTCTAATGTAATTCCTAATGATACAGCAAAATGGTTTGGTCTTGAATTAACACCAAATATTGATCGATTTATTGGAGTAAATAAAAAGAAAAAATGAATATTCTTTTGAAAAATAAAAATAAAATGATTGTTTCTTTTTATCGTAGATGTACATATTGTTAACAATTGTTTTAACACTTGATGCAATTGTACGATATCGACAAAGACATCGTCGTTTAAAATTATCTGTTCATTTTAATGTTCATATTATTGAAAATCGTTTTCCAATATTATTCGAACCATTTGCATTAAAAAATCTTGATGATGATACTTATCAATATGATATTAGTAGTTATCAACAAGCTGATCAAGGTGTAATTGATTTTTTGAAATATTTAATTAATTTTGTTTTCTATCGATTTGGTTTGGAAGTAAGAATATGTTGTAAAAATTTTATCAATATATTCATCGGTATATTTTATTTAGATATGTTATATAACAATAGTAATTGTTATTGGTGTTCGTCTTGATATAGTAGCTGTTTTTTATGCAATATGGCTTGGCATTTTTTTAATTTCAAGTCGACGATTCATTAAACGTATATGGCCTATTTATATTTTCTTTCAAATTACTTCGTTTTCAGTCCAATATTTAAGTGCTGTTGGTGTACCACCAATTCTTTGCTTTGGTGAGTAATTACACATGGTTTCACGAAGGGTAGTCATGAAAATCGATGTAAATATACTGATTGAAGTTCTAATTTTTTGAGAAGTTAATTGCTTAAGTTAGGTTTATAATAGTAAGTATAATCTTTAGGTTTTATTCGAACAATGTTTGTTCTTTTAGTCTCGTATATTTTTATTTAAAACTAAATACATATATAAAAACATTGGAAGAATATAATTGATTATTATTGTTAGTTTGATTAGAGATGCGAATTGATTTAACATTATTATTTAAAAAGTCTAATAAAATATTCAATCCTTTTTAGAATATCCATGGACAAATGTTAACATACAGGGTTGGTCACAATTAAAACACTGGCTTTTTTTACCTGATTATGTAGATCAACCGTTAGCAACACAATTAATTAGTAAAATATATTTTAATAGATATTAAATTTTTTTTATATGTGTTAAAAAATTTTTTTAGCTGATTTTTTTCAATTTTTATTTGCTTGTCAACAATGGCGTGTATTTGCATATGAAACTAATGAAAAAGATCATGTATACAGGGATGCTGGTGGATCAAATCGTGAAATAATCTATGATGATGATGTTTATAAAAATAATCCAACATGGGATTTTGTAACAAATAAACGACATTGGCTTGATCATATAAAATATGCTATATTTATGTATGGTGTATGGAGTGTTTTAGCAATTGTTTATCTTGCTGGTACAACACGTATTAGTTTACTTGGTCTTGGTTATCTTATTGCGTGTTTTTATTTTCTTTGGTATGGTCAAGATTTTTTAACAAAACGAGTGACAGTTATGCTTCGATTGTATGTTAAATTATTTTCACATTATGTTTTTTTTTTTTTTAATATCTGTTTTTTTAGATGGAATTATTTAATTTATTATTGCTTTTTGGTAATATTTATAAAAACATGTTTACAGGTATGTCAAGAAAAATATTAAGAAGGATATTTTTTTGTTCTTAAATAATAATAGTAATAATAATAATAATAATAATAATAATAGATAAATGAAAAATAAATACTTTCAGGTTGTTGCTTGTGTTGGTATTCTATCAACTCAATGTTTCATACAACAAATCTTTGCAATAACTTGTTTAAAATCAGGCATTCAAGGATTCAATGATTATAGCGATACTCCTTCAACAGGTTTCCTCTTTTTTAAACCCTTCTTGAATGAATAGATTGTCTTCGGGGAGAAACATTTTTATTTTTTTTTTGTAAAGCATGCTTCCTCTTTTTTTGTTTAAACGAAATACTTCGAATATGATTTTATTTTCTTATGTTGATTTTTCTCTAGGTGGTGGTTTGTATAGTTCTCTATCCATCATCAACTTGTACGATAGCATCACGCACCTCCTTATTTTGCACATTAGTGGATTTGTTTGTACCATGCTTAAAATCTCATTTTAAACCTTCAAGTGACTGTCCTGGATCCTCTAATGGTACATATGATTAGATCTTTTCCTTTTTCTTAAAAATAATTTCAATTTATTTAACTGTTATTTGAATTTTAGGTGTCAATGAACAATGTGCTCGTAGTGCTGCCGATGCCAGTCTTTTCATGTAAATAAAATTATTTAATAGTAATAAATCAATACAATGAAAATTTTATTAATATATACATTGATTAAAAGATTTGCGAGAAATAAAATGTTTTCTACGATTAATGAGTAATAATAGACGATCACCGTATGTACGATGATAAAAAGAAGACTTGGATTTTAATATGTTACGATTCACGATCTATGAATTCATAAGGCAGATCTATAGTTAGAGTTCTGAAAAGTAATTGAGTCCATCGGATCGGTTCCGGATTCGGCGGACTCTAAAAAACAGTATTTGTATTACAAGAAAAGTTATAAGGACAGAATTGGAATAGCAAAATAACTTGACTTTACAGATCTCTAATTATTACATATTAAGAGAAGAAATTTAAAATATGTGGGATAAATTTTAATATGTTTTGATTTTTCCTCAATGAAAAATCATAACGACAATTATTAAATAATAATTTTGTTTAATCTGTAGGGATGGTGTTTGTATGATATTTTTATTATTACAAAAACGAATATTTAGCAGTTATTATTGGGAACATATTGTAACTGAACTTCGTTCTCAAGCTAAATTAGCTAGTCAAGGTGCTGCTTTATTTAATGAAATGTCATATAAACGAATAGAAGAAGATCGTGTACTTGAAGAAGAAACTGTATCAAAAATAACTCGAAGTTTAAAACGTATTCAAGAACAACAATTAAAATTAAATGAATCGGATAGTAAAAGTGCTGGAGTACTTATGGAAACATCTGAACATTTTGAAGGTTTGTTTAAAATGCAGATAAAGAAAAATTTCATTGTATTATTTAAGCTATTCGATCGGGTGATTATTATATGTTTGAATATGAATCAGAAGAACCAAAAGATGAAGGAAAAGAAGATGAAGCTACTGTTGCTCAAGAACAGGTTTTGTTAATCAACAAAGAAAATTAAAAGAAAAAAAACAACTAAACAAAAGTTTTGCTTTTATAGATTTTTCAAGTTTTAGCAGCAAATGATAAAGATGAAACTGTTGCTGACATTGGTCAAAGTAAGTTTTTGTTTTTTGAAAAAGTTGATATTCGATTGTCTCTTAAACATCTGTATTTATTTATTTTTCTAACAGAACCTCGGACATCATCTACTGTTGAATCAGATGTTCAAGAACAAACTACAGCATCACAAACTGCTTCACTACCAGCAACAACAATTGAGGTAATGCCACTTTCACCAACTCTCGAACAAGCAACATCCGTTGAATCTAAAGGTAGCCTATTATGCTTTTTTTTTGGATCTATTGTACAATTTTTAATGATTTTATTTATTTTTATTAGAAGAAAAATCTAAAACAAAACAAAATATAATTTTCATTAAAATTCGTTTAATTGTTTGGATTATTGTTGATTATTTAATTAATTTATTTAATAAAAACTCACGTGATTACCGAGAAGTTTCAAATAAATTGGCTGAAATGAAATCTAAAGATAAAGTTTTTCAACATGAACGGATGCGAATGGAAACACGTACTGATCAAGTAAAAATTATTTTTTTTAAAATTATTCTTCAAATTTTTCAATCTTATTTTCATCTAGAATTCAGTACTCAACATTGATCAAATGGCTGGTGGTGATCATTCAAATCCGTAGATTTTCTTCTAGTTTTTTATTCCCTTCCTATAACATTCTATTGTTGTTTAGAAATGTTCAAGTTCGAAGCGTATCTCAATCAAGTGATTTAAGTGAACGTTCACGTTTCTATCGTTTATGCGAGTCTTTATTTTATTTTGCAATGTCTCGATCTGAACTCTTATGTTATTCTACTATGATACTAAATCATTTAACATCAGGTACACTGTTATCAATGCCACTACCATTATCAATATTTCTTTGGGCAACATTATCACATCGGTCATCACGAAATTATTGGATTACTGTTTTAACTTATACAGAAGCAATGATTGTAGTTAAATATATATTTCAATTTCGATTTTATCCATGGTACGCTGACGCAGCAGACGTTCGTCCATTATCTGCAATAAATATTATTGGAATAAATCGAAAAGAAAATGCTGCTTCAGTCACTGATTTACTTCTACTTTTATCATTATTTCTTCATCGATCGATTTTAAAAGTATAAATTAGAATATTATCGAAATTCATATTTTATTTCTTCTATTTTTTTTTTCATCTAGCAACTTGGACTCTGGAAAGCCGAACAAACAACACCAACTAGTATGTAAAAGATTCAATTTTTCTCTTTCGACAACGAAAATTTCAACTCACGACTGAATCTTTCCAAATGTGTCAATAATTTCAGCTAGAATAGATCTTTTCTTCTTAGGATATCAGATTCTCAAGTAAAGTGCACATTTTAGCATAAATTTAGAAATTTTTAGTTTCCTTGTATATTTTTTATCTGAGAAAGATAATATTCGTCATAGTAAAAAATTTTCACTTTTCACAAAGAATATTTCAATATATTATGAAAATGTCATTCGTTGAATATTTAGATTCAATGATTTCAGACGTTGATCATAGTGAACAAAAACAAGAATCTAATAATCCACTAGAAACAACACGAATAAAAAGGTGAGTGATTTAAAAATTAATACTTATTTTATATATATAAATTACAAACAGATTTATATACAAAATGAGGTATGATTCTTAATACACACCGAAAAAGATTATTAGTGCAGCATGTTAACATCTTCTTTTAGCTTGGTTTTTTCAATTTTATTTTGTATATTTTATTTAGATAATATTTTTTTCTTCTCTTGTTTGTTTTTAGTAATACTTATTTTATGAAACCAGTTATAAAATTTTATCGTCAACTTAAACAAGCATTATTTGTTCGCGATGTATATGCACCAATGTTCTTTTGTGATTTTATTAATATGATTATTGTCATCTTCTTTTACAGTCAATTCGGTGTATGTACTATTAAATAGTTAATCTTCTCTTTTTTTTTTTTTTAATTATTAAAATTTCTTCTATTTACAGTTAAGAGAAACCTACAGGGTAATAATCATATATAGTGATTGAATTTTTGTTATTGGAGATTAAAAGAAAATTTTCCCACGGATTGAATTTTCTATTATTTGCACCTCACTCCCTTTATTCTCTTGTTTTTATTTAAAAACTAAAAATGTTTGTTTTAGGAACGAAGTGGTGGAAATGTTGTACAAACAATACAAGAAAATAAAGTAAACAAATCTTTCTTTAATGTAGCTGTTGTCTTTTATTAGTAAAGATTATTATAGGTTCCTGTAGCTTTTCTTGTTATATTATTAGTTCAATTTATATTAATTATAATTGATCGTGCACTTTATTTACGTCGCAATGTACGTGGTAAATTCTTCTTTCAATTATTTCAAGTTATAGCTGTACATATATGGTTATTTTTTGTTTTACCTGGAATAACTCGAATGTATGAAAAATAATTTTCGTTTTTATTATTAAATATTTCATAAAATTTTGTTTTTAAAAGGAAATTTCGTGATAATGTTGCCGCTCAATTTTGGTACATATTCAAATGTATTTATTTTGGTTATTCATCAATACAAGTACGATTAGGATATCCAAAACGTATTGCAGGAAATTTTCTTATGAAGCGTTTTAATTATCTTAATCAAATATTATATCGAATGTAAGAATTTTAATAAATATATATTGACACAAAAGATTTTCATTATAATTTTCTTTTAGTTATTTATTAATTCCATTTTTACTTGAATTACGAACAATTATGGATTGGATATTTACAGATACAGCACTTGGTTTAACAAATTGGTTACAATTAGAAGATATTTATTCAAATATTTATATACTTAAATGTGCAAGATGGGCAGAACAAGTAAAAAAAAAAACCATACAGAATATCGCAACAGTTAGACGTGGAATAAAACTGCAATAAATTTTCAACGATTCAAGTAGTTCACATGAGATCTTCATTATTTCATATGAATTCACTCGTAACTATTGTTTCAAATGATTGTTGATATCGGTCATTTCAAACATCATATGAAATAAAACTTCTGAAAATATTCTATGAAATGATGAAAATCTTATATGAATCTTTTGAATTGTTGAACAGTTATTACACTTTTATTTTACGTCTAAGTTTTATTACACAGTGTAAATAATGAAAAATTTAATTTTTTTTTTTTAGAAATATCCAACAGAACGTGGCGTACCTCGAACAAAAGCAACGAAATATGGAATTGGTGGTTCATTATTAGCTTTATTAATTTTATTAATATGGTTTCCATTACTCTTCTTTTCATTCTCTTCATCATTTTATCAACCAAATCCACCGACAGAAGTTAAGGTTGAAATTAAATTAGGTGGTTATTTGGTAAGAGGAAAATAAAAACACTTTGTTTATTTTTTTCATTTGAAATTCCTTTGATTTTATAGCCAATTTATCAAATGACAGCACAAGATACTGACTTGCGTTCATTTACATCTGCTGATTCTAATAATTTACGTACGTTAATCTATTCACCAAGTTTCCAACCAGCATTAGAAGTAAATTTTTTTTTAAATATTTAAATCATTTGCTTCCTTTTTTAAAATGTATCTAGGACGCTGCTTATGCATTTTTACGTGATTTTAATCCGGATGATATTCGTTGTGTAAATTTATTTTCAACAAGTGTTAATCTATGGGCAATAAGTCAACCCATACGTGATATTGTTGTAAATAATTTACGATCAAATATTACAGTACCTGTACTATTTTCATATACAATAACACGTAATCCGCCAAATCGAGATGATTCAGAAGATATTACAGCAGTTGTAGCAGGTGATACAACAGTTGATATTGTTGCAGACGATCAACAAACTCGAAATGCACTTATTAAAATACTTAATGGAACTATTGATGCACAAACATCAACGTAGGTTTTTTCTTTTCTTGAAGTTTTGATTTTAATATTTTATAAATTTTTCATGTGCATTTTTCTTTTTAGAGAATTTACAATTCAGAATTTAATGCCACGATTTTTACATGTTAAACCGAAATCAAAACCAGAGAATATTGATCCGTTCATAAAAGGTATTTTTCTAACGCAATGATATCATTTTTTTGTTATTGTATTATTATATAATTTTATTTAGTTTTTCCAATGGAATATTTTGCTAATATAACAATGGGTGTTAATCGAACAAGATCAATACCAAATAGTACTGAAGTTTGGTGGGAAATGTCTGAAAATCGAACAGAATATAGATTTTCTCCATCATGTGAGTTACAAAAAAATTGAATTTTTTGAATAAAAAAAAAAATCTTATTAGAATATCTATAGAGAAAACTATTATACAAACTTTCAAATTTCAAAAATCGAAGATAGGATGGATGTAGGATGTGGATATTTTTCTACGCTCGTATTGCAGCATATCAATCGATTCTGTACCTTTCTGAATTCTGTAGAGTATATATATTTGAGAATAACAATGGATAAAATGTTTAAAAAAAAATGATGTTTATAGATAGGATTGAGCGAGAAAGAGTACATTTATGGAGAATCTATTTTAAAAATATAGCATCAATTAGGAATGAAATATCGAAGACTTATATACAATTTTAATTAATCAATTATTTAACTTATTTTGTATTTTTCAAAGGTTCATTTAACAACCGAAATTATATGACTATGATTTTGTTTAATGATAAAATTTCACCAGCTAACATATCATTCCTTACTCGTTATGGGTAAGTTTTTTAGTAGTTTTTTTTTTTGTTAGCTTTGCTCGATTAAAAATTAACAAACCACTGTTCACCGCATGCTCTGTTCATTTTTTTTCTCTGATTTGTTATATATATATATATATATTTATATTGATATGTTCGACTTCTTTGCTCATTTGTTTTCTCAATTTATTTTCTTTATTTTAATAGTAATAGTAGCTTGTTCTTCTTCTTCTTACTATCTCGACAATTTTTTTTCTAATGGTTAATGCTTTAGAAATATAATTTTTTTTCTCTCATGTAAATCCTCTGTAGTATTATTGGTATCTACATTTCAATTATTTCTGTTGCTGCGTCTTTCATTCGCGGTCAATTATTCGGTACAGCAAATACAATCATGTTTAATGAATTACCAGAAGTTGATGCATTGTGGCGTTTTTTGAACGATATTTATCTATTACGAACTGTTCGTGAATATAAAATTGAAAATGACTTTTTTGATCGTTTGATTTATATCTATCGTAATCCACAATTGTTACTCTATTGGACACGAGAGATTAAAAATACACAATAGTCGAATCTCTTCTGTTTTTTTTTCTGTTCAGATATCAGTGATCAATTGTTTTCCGTTTTTTTTTGTACCTGAAAAGTTTTATTTTTCTTTCGTAATTTTGTCAAGAGAGAGGAAGAGAGAAAATAATAAAAATTTATGCTAATTTATATAATTCTTCTATTTTTCAATAGGATTATTGGTTTATATACAACATTTGTAATTGTTTTTGCACGATTGTTACGTACAATCTTGCAAACAAGTCAAACAATTATGTTCAATGAATTGCCAAGTGTTGACCGTTTTTGGCAACTTTTACGAGATATTTATTTGGTTCGAGAACATTATATGTTACGTATCGAAGAACAACTTTTTGCTAAAGTCATCTTCTTATATCGTTCACCAGAAACACTGATACGATATACAAAACCAAAGATAGACTAAAACACAACGATTATAATTCCTTTGGTGTATTTTCATTTTTTTGTTGTTGTGATATGCAATATAAGTGTTCTTTTTGATAGTTCTTGCATGTATTATTATTATTTCTATTCATCATTTTCTTTATGTATACGTATGCAATCATGACACTGTATTATCATTATAAACGAGTTTATTGTGTATTTCTTATTCGATTAAAAATAAAATATAAAATACAATTTAAACGTTTATTTAGCAATAATCTAGTTGGATTTGTGTTTCAGATTTAAAAATGACAGGAATAGAAAAAAGAGATTGGAAAGGATATACATTAGTTATGGTAAGAATACGACGATTTGTTGCTGATCTTTTGAAATTATTCATTTTTTAGCCATCCATTTGTCATTGTTATGTTGGACAATTGGCAGTAGATATTTTGATTAATACTTTACACATGAAAAGTGTTCATATACTTGATTGGACATGTGTCGAACCGGTAATCGCATATGATCCATATGAAAATGCAAATAGAGAAACTTTAGCATTTGGTATTGAAGGTAAAATAGAAATTTAAGAAGCATAATAGAAACTAAGAAGTCTGTTTTTTTTTAATTATAGTTTATGAAGAACAAAATTTAAAAATACTTGTCATTCAACAACGTGGTAATATTGTATCGGGTAAACGACAAGAATTTGTTGATAAACTTTTAGAATTTTTTAAAAATGAACAACTAAAAGAAATTATTGTTTTAACTGCATTTAATGCAGTTGAACGTAATGATGTTCAATTAACAGGGTATGAATATTTAAAAATACTCGACGAAAAATGATATTTTAGTTGAATTATTCTTGTTAGAGAACAATTTCGATACTTATCAACAACAGCAATTAATTCAAATGATCTTAATTGGATTGCATTAGAAGAACGACAAGATAAAAATCATCATAAAATTATACGAGATCGTGATCGATATTATATTGCTGGTGGTGGTATTGCTAATCGATTATTTTATACTGCGTAAATGCAAAATTGTATTTGATTTAAAATATTTTTTGTTTTTATTTTATTTGTCTACGTAGACAAATAAGATCAATAC